CAGTCCTACATGAGCCTGAATATCTCAATGGTAACGTCTGTGACTTCAGGCAGCATTGAATGAAATGAGTTTGAATCTCAGAAGGTTACAGATACGCCTGCTTTGCTTACACTTTGGGTGCCAACTAGGTTCGAAGCTTCCTGCCAACTGCTTCCAAGTGACTAATACCTGCATGTTCAAATTTATAAGTGTGCTTAATTTTATCTACGGTCGCATCTTTATTTCTCTTCTTCTTCCTTATTGTTCTTCATTATTCTTTCCTGAATATGGCTCTGAAACATGGCCAATACGCGTTGAAAACATGAAAAGGTTGACTGCTTTCGATCATAGATGTCTGCGATCTCTGTCTCACGTTAGGTGGTTTCACAAGGTAAGTAATGTTGACGTTAGGCGTAGAAAATTGGGCAAACAGGGGAAATCAATCGACCAGGCTATAAAGTTACACAGATTGAGATGGCTAGGTCACGTCCTGCGCATGCCTAACCACCGCCTCCCCCGACGGGCATTGCTAGCTGATATAGGTTCAGGTTGGAAAAGAGCTAGTGGTGGCCAAACAAAAACATGGCCCCATCAATCCATGAAATCCTTGACAGTTAAACTGAGTCAGGTGTGGAGATGCAGACTTCAGGGTTGGGGCCCTCGGGACTGATTCTAAGAATCAATGGCTGGAGACAATAGGTGACATGGCTCAAAATCGTTGTCAATGGCCAGCGCATATGTATTCAGTCTCTGTAATCTTTCATATTCCTTTCTACCATTACCCATTCTGTTTCACTCTTATACTTGTCAAACTCTATTGATTCTCTTCACTCATCTTCTTGTCTACCTTTGTGTGCTATTTGGAACCTGGCAACTCGAACTGCTGCACTTCGGTGACAAGTTCTATGTTGAATCCAGACAGAGCAGACAGACAGACAGACTTTCCTGAATGGTTCAGAAAAGACTTTTATACTGCAAATAACTCTGAGAGATGTCAAAAGTGTACCTAAGTGTTGCTCGAAGTCAGCTTGTAGATATATATATATATATGTGGTCACAGATGGACACTTGAACTCATGCAAGAAATTGGCGAAAGTCATGTTATCATACCTCTTTAGCTCAGGTAGGACGAGATACAGTTTTTTGTTTGAACCCTGGCGATGGGTGCGTACTGCTGAAGGGTTAGTCCCGAAATAGGCTGACGAAACAGCTCCTCGAGGTACTCCTTGAGGTTTTTCAATAGTTCTCTAACAGATATCAGCTCATTTATTTTATTTATTTTTATTACTTTTGATTACAGCTTGATTCCACACTGTATTTTCGGTACAAGTATGGAATTTTTGCAGCATGGATATCGGTAGCCTAAATTTTGCAGGCTGAGCATAGATATCAGGTGTGCTTCTTTGGCAGGGGATCAAACCTCGGACCATGTGCATGATCGGCGAGAGTCCTAACCATTGTGCCACCGACGCACATAAAAGCTATAACCGTGCCTTAGAAAAACTTCATTGGCTACGGTACCGCCACTGCTCAAAGTTGTGATGACATCCTGTAACCAATCAATGAAATCCCTAAAAAAGAGTACTTGATATGCAGGAGACTTTAAAAAACTTTAAACAATTTGTGATTTTCCGATATACTTTAAACTCTTATGACTGGGTGAATATATAAGTTTTCACAGAAGTAATTTTAGACCCCCCGCACCCCAACGTTTTGTTTCCATCTTAATTGAATGGATAGAACAGAGTCGGTCAATTTCGATTCGAACTCTCTGCAGTAGTTGGTTTTATGCGATTTTGTATTACATGCTCAGAGGAGTGCTGTAATCATATCAGATGTTATATTTGGTCATTTTAAAAGTGTTTTATCGATTTCTATTGTTTTTTACTAAAGGGAAAACATGACAAGTAGTTCAATGAAGAGGCTCTTTTCAGCGAATCTATTTCCCACTCTAGCTGTTGAGTTACATTGATATAAACGTTTTTCCACGGAAGACGGTAGTAGCAGTCACAATCATAGCTGTTCATTTTCTATGGTTTGGTTTGTAAGGGTTAGTTTTGTTTATTGACGAGTTGATCACGGATTGATATCAGTTAGAGAACCATTGAAAACCAGCCACAGGGAGTTACTGGACAGCTGCTTCGTCGGCCTAGTTCGGGAATCATCGTTAGCACGCACCCACCACCAGGGCTCGAACACACGACCTTCTGGTTATAAGGCCAGCAAGGTCGTATACCATTCAGAGACTGGGACGCGGGCCCTCAATGGCCAGTGCATGAATTCTAACTTCAACCAATTCGTGATTTAGCCCGACTGGCATCAATCAATCTCATTGGTGGGACATCCATCCTCACACGTGACATCTGGATGGACCTCACTGGACTGGATGGACTTCTCACTAGAACTCACTCCAGGCAACGCCATCCTGTAGCAAGTCACTAGCGAGGATCAGATTAATTTCCTATAGTTGGTTTGTGAGGGTTAGTTTTGTTTTTACGAGTCCCGATGGCTGAATTGTATACAAGCTTGCTGGCCTTGTAACCGGAAGGGTTGGGGTTCGAACCCCTGGGAGTAGTGGGTGCTTACTGCCGATGATTCCCAAACGAGGGTGAAATAGTTGTTAATATTAGTCAATGCACAAAAGGAATTGAGTAAGTGTGTTATAGTTACGTAATAAGATAAGTTTATGACCAATGTCAGCTCATGATGAAATTCCCCAACCAATCAAACAATAATCCCTACAGAAACCAATATTTGGAAATTAATCGGATGCTTACTAGTGACTGGTCTCATTCAGGTAGGTAGTTATCTGGGTCCTCCTGGGAAGCCGTCACCAGTAGTGAGGGTATAACAGATCGAAGGTGGAGACAGTTACTCATTGAAGAAGACAGTGTTAAGTGGTAGTGCTATATCGTGAATTGGAAGAAGTTAGAATTCAAGGACCATTGGATCGGGTCCCAGTGGCTCAATGGTCTACGAGTTCGGTTGCCTTGTCACTGGAAGGTCATGGGTTTGAACCCCGACAGTGGGTATATACTGCTGAAGAGTCCTGAACTAGGACGAAATAGCTGTCCAGTACTCTTATGTGGTTTTCCAATGGTCCTCTAACTGATGTCAGTTCATGTTTAGTCCTGTGACCAAAATTAAAGTTAGCAGAAAACAACAAGCTTGTTACCATGCCAGTAGGAGCGGTTGAATAATTTTCTATTGTATTCATGGTTCCAGTTTTTGTATTTGAATAGCTAAAGCTTCAGCAGTGCTCAGAAGAGACGATGAAAGTACTATCCATGTATCTTTGGTACATATATAGAAGCTATCGATAGTGGGTAGTAACATAATATTCTTTAGACTTGTCAAGAAAAAGTCCGCGAGTAGGGGATCCAGTGACGACCCCATCGTCACTCTGACTATTTGTATATAAAGCATGCTGTTGAACTTGAATTGGATATTAAAAGTACACCTCAATAGTAGATCCTTTTTCGGTAGTACATCAAGTCACCCACGTCTTCACTATTATCCTTAATGGGTTTGCATATAAAGCAAATAGTTTCATTGAGAGGAACATTAGTGAAGAGGGGCGTAACATTCATAGATATCATTTTCTTTTCGGATATGGTTCCCAGAAGAGAAGAAACAGGGTTTGATAGGTTTGGCAGGTTATTCTTCACTTTGTAGATGACTTTGAAAGAAGCATTTGTTGAATTGGAATGATTGCTGATGACCGCGTTTTGAGCACAATTTATTACTGATCATAATCATATCAAGGTACTCACTCACACAACTTTCCAACTTCGTTTATATAATTTCATTATTATTTTTCATCGCTTGACTTGATGTTTGGTAGTAGTGATATTTTCCATATTTCCGGCATGAGTGATGAGCAATTCCTATTGCATGTGTTGGGTGTAGATTCGATTAAAAAGGATTCAGTAATCAATCTTTATCCATCTTCACCTACGTATATTACTTCTTGGAATTTTAACCCTCTCCCATCCACTCTATAGTGTGGTTGTGTGTTGATACATGCAGTGCAGTTGCTAAGCTTTTTTCTAGATTACTTATCTTCGCGGGTGGGGTCAACCATTCTTACCTTAGCTAAATTCTTATGTTCCAACATAAGAAAGAAGATAATGCATCTACTTTTATAGCATATAACTAGGGGATATCTCAAACCCTCACCACGTAGGATTCTCAACAAAGCAGGAATTAAGATGGTGGCATTCAAACGTACAAACTCACTCAGGTAGGACAAGCTCTGTAGACTAAAGGACCCTGTCGGTTGACCCAACCAGACAAAATGACATAATTTACAAAATACCTTGCAATGACTGTGAGTTAAGTCAACTATATAGGTCAAACTAGTAGATTGGGGGTAGTCAGATTGTCAGAACATGAGGATTTACCTAAGGTAAGAATGATTGACCCCACAAAGGTAAGTAATATAGAAAAAAGCTCAGCAATTGCACTGCATGCATCAACACACAACCACACTATATAGTGGGTTGGAGAGGGTTAGAATTCTAAAACGTAATATAAGTAGATGGAGAGGGATGGAAGTTGATTACTGAATCCTTCCTGGTTCATCGAGTCTACACCAAACACGTGCAAAAGGAGTGACTTATTACTGATACCGGAAATATGGAAAATATCACTACCAATCATCAAGTCAAAGCGATGAAAAATAGTGGAATTATATAAAGTAAGAAAGTTGTGTGAGTGAGTACCTTGATATGATTATAAGCAGTAATAAATTGTGCTCGAAACGCATAACAACACTGTGAGACTTTATCAAAATAAATTTTACCCATAATAAAATTATACTCTACCACTACAGTTCACAAGTTTTATTCTTATATCAATGAAATGAAATGGAATGACGTGTATTGACAAGATGTTTACACACAGGTATAGTTTAACACAGCTACAACATCTGTTGTAGTGTTTACTCAATACTATACGCGCGCAATAAAACACCTCACCTGCTCTCTATTTTTTTCTTTTATTAATTTACAAAACGTTAGATCAATGCTTTAACTCAAGAAGTGAATGAATTACGCGCGGAGTTGATAAATCATCGTCAAACACTTGTAGAATCTACAAAATGTCAGTATAAAGCTGAAACACAAATCGATAAATTGTTACAATCAACACGTATTGAATTAATCAACTTACGCAAAGAGGCAGAATATCAAAAAAGTGAAATAGATAAACAACGAAGTGAATTAACTGAAAAATCTAGAAGTAATAAGTTTTATGCATTTTGTTTGTTTGTTTGTTTTTGTATGTGAATAATTTTGTTATTTTTAACATCTTTTTTATTATTATATAATTCTAGGGAAAGATTAAAACGCTGTGTCCATGGTCACGGTTTCTTTTTTTTGGCATTATGATTTGGTGAATGAGGCTACATGAAGTTCCTTTTTCTAATATTAACATTTACTATTATTATCGCTACTTTCTTGGGTTCCAAGTTGAAAATGTGGCTTCACTGACTTACTAACTGATTTCAACATAGAACTTTGCGCAGATGTGCAGCAGTTCAGGTTGCCACATTTCACTTAGCACACAAAGCAAGAGAAGAAAGTAGAAGAAATTCAAAATAGAGACAGTAAACAGAGATATGAGGCAAAAAGAATAGTAATATCGAAGAACAATATAGTTTTATTGGATATTATAAGTTAAAAGGAGTGGATGCATTTAACAGCACCAGCCACTGGAACGATCACTTTGAGCCATATCACCAATAGTCTGCAGCCACTGGTATTTACCGTCCACCGGATCCCAACCAATTAGGAGGTTTACATATCCCTACATGTCTTGCTAAAACCAACTGTTATGGATTTCATTGACTAATGAAGCCATGTTTTGGTTTGATCACCACCTGTGTCCGTCGGTTAACATTGCCCATAGAGGAAGCTGATGGCTACACATGCATGCGTAACACATGTCCTAACCATCTCAATCAATGAAACTTCATAGCCTTTCCTTACCTAGCGCTCAATTTATGCCTAACCTCAATGTTGCTCACTAACCTATTATATCACCACCTAACACGGGAGATATAACGCAGACACCTATGATCAAAGACAACTAGCCGTTATTTTCATGTCTTCCACTCTCAATGGTAATGTCCCACTCACAGTCATAGAAGAGGACGGAGTGGACTGCTGAGCAGTACACACTCCCTTTGGTCGATAGCCAGCCGAATATCACATCTATGCCAAACGAGCCTTCTGTATCTGTGCTGAGATTTCGTCAGCGATCGATACACTGGCATTGGCTGATACAACTTCCCAAATAACAAGTGAAGTGGTCAACACAGCCTTACTAAACAAACTTGCAAGAAAGTTTATATCAAAATTGAAACTGACTGACTGACTGTTTTCAACATCGAACTTTACACCAATGTGTGGCAGCTCAAGTCACCACACTTCATGTGGCACACAAAACAAGAGCAAAAAAAGTAAAAATAAATGCAAAATAGAGACAGTAGACAGAGATATTAGGCAAAAAGGATAGTAATAATGAAGAACAACATGGTTTCATTGGAAATTATAAGTCACAAGGAGTGGATGCATCTGCGCCGGGCCATTGACAACGATTTTGAGCCATAACACCGATTGTCTTCAGCCTTCATTGGTTTTTACAGTCTTGAGGACCTCAGCCAGCTAGTCTACACCTTCCTATGCGGCTTAAATTAACTTTTGTGAATTTCATTGACTGATGAAGCCATGTTTTGGTTTGACCATCACTGACTCTTTTCCAAACTAATCTATCTTAGTCACCTAACACTGCCCTCGAGGAAGACGGTGGCTAGACATGTGCACGTAATACACGTCCTAACCTTCTCAATCGATGTAATTTCATAGCCCCGTAGATTGATGTCTTTTCATGAACCAGCACTCAACCTATGCCTAACCTCAATATTGCTCACTAACCTAGTGTACCACTTAACACATAGGGGAGATAGAACTCAGACACCTATGATCAAAGACCGGTAGCCAACTAGCCTTTTTATATCTTCTAATTTCAATGGCCAGGTCTCACCGCCATAAAGTAGGATGGAGCGGACTGCTGAGACTCAAAAGATGTTGGCAATATACTAATCCAAAAACTGCCAATTACACAGCACCATACCTTGTAATTTTTAAATATTGGTTTTAGGCACTAAGTTAAACTATTTTTAGCTTGAAAAATATAACCCTTCACTATGTAACAACAGAAGACAAGGGCCAGGCAACAGATCGTTTTATTACGGAAATCAGCACGTATTTATATATATTTCGTGTACATTATTATTATAGCTTATCCAAGCAGACAAACACAGTCTCCTGGTTGGTTGTTTCTTGCTCAAGGTTATTCTATACTGCTTGTGACTGGTTACTCGGAAAGTTAAGCCATATATCTGCGAATCACATTTGCCCACGTTAAGTCTGCTGTGACTGGTTGTTGAATCAGTGTTGTTCATATTCTCTCACGGCCAATATTAATGACTTAGACATTGACGCAAATTAATGTCTACCGATTGGCTAGCAGCCTGCTCTCACCACAATTATACTATCTATTAGCAGACGTGGAGCCAGGTGAAAACGTTTGGTGGAGAACCGAATGCAATGCAGACGTGTACCTGAAGCCCTTATGTTCCTCCACGAACTAAACGGGATAATAATAATATAATAATAATACACTAAATGAACTCAAAATAGTGATAACCAAAACACACATCGTGCGTCGGCGACACAGCGATAGAATGCTCTCCGACCATGCACGGGGTTCAGGGTTCAATCCCCTGCCGACGTACTCCTTACCTCACTTAGCCAGTAATAAAGATGGTCAACAGGAAAGGTTGGGAATGAGGCTATCAACCCCATCCTGCGAAAATAAACACTGCTACAGAAACTTCAAGACTCTAGCTTGAAGCCGTATGCTGCACTGGGAACGGGAAGGAATGAAAACACACATGAGAAATGCTCTCACAAGCAATAGAATAAAATATTAAGGTTATTTAGAAGGAGAATAGTTTAGAACTTGTCTGGCTAGCATGAATGAATTAAAGATTCTTAGGATATGTATGTCACCAGCACAAAGAAGAAACACAAAATCTGGCGTCCACGCTAGTCTGGTGGGATGCAACACTCATTCAAACAAAACTTAAATTTATTTAAAGCATTCTCAGGCGAGTTAGATGTTTATCCAGTTAATATGAAGTTCATTCAGTTTGATTGATTGATTTAATTTTCAAGTATTGATCTTTGTAGGGATTTTGTTTGATTGCATGGAGGATTTAATCATAAGGTGACATCAGTCAGAGTACCATTGGAAGACCTGGAAGTACTAGACATTGCGAAATGGTCCCGCTATGTCGTGAATTGGCAGAAATTAGAATTCAAGGACCATTGGATCGGGTCCCAGTGGCTCAATGGTCTACGAGCTCGCCTTGTAACCAGAATGTCCTCGGTTCGAACTCCCTGTGGTGGGTGCGTACTGATGAAGAGCTCCAAACTAGGACGAAACAGCTGTCCAGTACTCCCAGGTTTTCCAGTGGTTCTCAAACTGATGTCAGCTCATTTTTAAATCCTCCATGAATGATTTAAGCCGCACAAAAGGTACCCTACATCTAATGTATATAATTGAATATCATTAAGATGCTCACTAGTGACTGGCTCTATTCAGGTAGGTAGTTACCTGAGGTTCTGGTGGGATGTCATCACCAGTAGGGGAGGGGGCAGAACTGGTCGGGCATGAGAACAAGTACTCGCCAGCGATGACATTCGCTAGTGCCAGTCGTGATATCTCGTGAATTAGCAGAAGTTGGAATTCATGGACTAGTCACTGGATCGTGTCGCCTGGGCTTAATGATCTGCGAGCTCGCTCACCTTGTAACCAGAAGGTCGTGAGTTTCAATCCTGGTGGTGGGTGCGTACTGATGAAGAGTTAGTCGAAAACTAGACTGACGAAACAGTTGTATGGCAGTACTCTCTGCCTGGTAGTTTTTTCCAATGTTTGTCTAACTGATATCAGCTCATAATGAAGCCCTGAAACCAATTAAATTTATTTTACTTTTATCACTGAAAATCTTAAGAATTACAAGATGAGTTGGATATGTTGCATAATCGATTGACGTGTACCAATCAATTCTCTGGGAACAGGGAGAATAATCATTTCGATGTAATAAACACACAAAACAACAACGATGAAGAAGAAGAGAAATTACAACGAATAATTAAACTGTTTCAAAAACACTTTTTGTTGCATATAAATGAATTTGAAAATAAAGTGTCAAGTATTTCAGATCGTTTAAATTTAGAAGTTGATCAAATGCAAACATTTCAGGTAGGTATTGCTTCTTTTTTACTTTTAATAAGTTTACCCCTATATACTACTGGAATATCTAATTCTCTACATATATATGTATTCAAGTTCTTTGACGGTTTGGTAGTAAATTGCTTGCTAACCATATGCGTAGCGCTCTGGGATCGATTCCCAACTGACGGATTCATAAGCTTCACCTAGTTTATTAGTTAATATTAAGCTGACTGGCCGACTAACTAATTTCAAGGTAGAGCTTTGCATCCATGTGCAACAGTTCCAATTGCCACTTTTCCTCGATGTAGTACACAAAACAAGAGAGGACAGTAAAGAGAGATTCAAAAGGCAGAGAGATAATAAAGAGGTATATGAGGCAAAAAGAATAACGATATGGAAAAACAACATGATTTTACTGGATACCATAAATCACAAGAAATGGATGCATCTGTGCCAGCAATGGAGGACGATTTTGAGCCATATTTCTTCAATTGTCTCCAGTCTACATTGGTTTTTACCGTCCCGAGGACTCCAACCAGTCAAGATGCCTACACCTTTCTACGTGACTGGCCGGCTGGCTGGCTTAAACTAACTGTTGTGAATTTCATTAACTGATGAGGCAACGTTTTGGTTTGACCATCACTAGCTATTTTCCAACGTGGTCCATTCTATGTCAGCTAACACTGACCATCGAGGGAGGCGATGGCTAGGCCTGCATGCGTAACACATTTCCTAACCATCTCAATCAATGTAACTTCATAACCTTGTCTATTGATTTCCTTTCCTTAACTAGCATTCGAGACCACCGATGCCTAACCTCAATATTGCTCACTAACCTATGATGTCACTTAACACACATGGGAGGTAAAATGTGGACATCTATGATCAAAAACAGGTAGTCGACTTTTTCGTGTCTTCCACTTTCAATGACAGTGTCCCACTCACAGCCATAAAGGGGGACGGAGTGGACTTCTGAGCAGTGCGCATGTCCTTTGGTTGGTAGCCAGCCGGATATTACGTCTAGTAAGCCAGAGACGACGTTAACTTGCATATGCGAAACGAGACTCCTGTATCCGTGCTGAGATTTCGTCAGCAATCAATACACTGGCATTGGCTGATACAACTTCCCAAATAACAAGTGAAGTGGTCAACACGCGCTACCAATCACTTCACTCCCCATCTTTAAGCTAGAAGTGAATCGATCTAGTCCACGCCTGTGGCTTATCTTACATTTGACGCAAGAGAACCACATACCGACCATCCGAAGATTTCTGCTCCTCATGGTGTTCAGAAAACTCTGCTGGATTTTGTCAGTGTCTTCACCTAGAAGGAATGTATCATCTGAATATTCTAAGTCAAAGTGATTATACCTTGCTAACAAGTCAATTCCTGAATCACTGAAGTCATCAGTTAGGGTTAAGTCCATTAGTGCATCTACGATGAAATTAAATAGAAATAGGGACTATGAGCATCCCTCAAGAACACCACTAGTTGTCACCATTTCAATTGACAACTCCCGGTAGGCTATCACCTCGCTAACTACATGATTTCGAGTAGAGTGCCTTGATCGCACGTAGTTAGCGACTACTCTATCAATGGAACATTGATGCAAAGTCAAGGAACGCTGGACAGCTGTGTAGTCCTAGTTTGGGATTTTCAGCATTACTTACCCATGACCTCGCCAGAAATCGAACTTAGGACGTTTAACTGAAAGCGCTATCCCGTTGATCACTCAGCTACTAGAAGTCTTCAAATGACTGCTCCGAACTAAACAGGCTGTTTAGAGCAGCACATCTATTATGATAGGAATAGGATATCATTACACAGAAAACTTTATACCGATGATGTACCGCAGTAATTGGATCGGGTAAATAGCCTAACACAAAACGATGAAAATAAGGAAAGAATTCTTCTTTTCAAATCTCTTGAAATCACCGAGATTACCCATTGAGTTGTGAACGAAATAAAAGAAAAACTCAGAGAAGAAAATTCTTCTTTATCGACGAAAAAACCATCTTCAGAGGCTGTACACAGTCGTATTTATATTTACCAGAAAAATGTATTGTAGTCAATTATTGAGTAATAGGGTGAGGGGTGACATAATTGATATAATTACTCAGAAATGACTTTAGAAGTAAAGAATAAAAGTTGTAAATTACGTAGTACTCAATGGTACAAAGCTAGAAATTTGATAAGGTTACACTTGCTATTGAATGAGTGAGAATAAAGGTGGTGGTATTTGAGTGTCAGTCTAAAAGGATTAGAGAGGTTTTGTGTGCATTTCGGATTGTGAGGGCGTTTGTTACTTCCCGGCTGCCCACACCGTGGAAGTTGGTTGCGTAATCGCACAGCCCAGGGGACAACTGCTTGAGACCGGTCACACGCGACCTGTTTTTGTCTATTCTCTTTTGTTTAGCGTGTCTCAGTAGCATACTTATCACTCCTGCCCTGTGACACGACAGCAGGAAGCGCGGTGGTTGTTAATCCGGGCGACACGGCCGATCCGGCATGATATTTTGTGAATTTGTTTGAATCATGTTATTGGATAGGGTAGCTGCTTTTTGTTTAACCGCTATCCAAACAACCTTCCTGGCATGGCAGAACCTCAAGAGAGATATGTCTCAGCCAGTATAGCTTGATTAGGTCATTGTGGTGTTCAAGCCTAACCACCACGTCAAGGTAGTAGCTTTCGGTCGGGTCAGTCTAAAAAGTGTGATGAAGAGACTGCAAAAATGTACAAAAGGAACACATGAGAGTGATAATAGTGAATTAATTATTAAAGTAAAAGTAAACTTAAAGTAAAATTAGAAATTAAAAAAATGAAAAGAAGAAATCAAAATTTTTTTACAGGGAACGACTAGTGAACAGGTTAAGACCAAGGTAGAATAAGAGAGACTGGACAAACACTTTCTGTATAAAGAGTGCGGGTTTTCGGGCAGAGGCACTGGCAGTTCGTCAATACAATCCACATTTTACGGATTTTCATCAACCACTAAGGACTAGACAACTGATATAAGTTAGTATAAATGCAAAAATATACATAGCATAACGAATTTAATAATAATAATAATAATAATTGCTTTATTCCAAAAACAGTACTCATGATACAGCAAGGAATTTTCAGCATTCAGTACAATATTGCATCTAATTTACTCAAAAACGACAAAACAAAAAAAATTAAAAATACACATTACATAATAGTAATAAAACGATTGTTATAGCAGCTACGTAGCAAAATACTGTGTGCCATACGGAGAAAAATATGTATAAAGTACAAAATTGTAGTAATAATAGTAATACCAACTAAAATAAAATAGCAGAGTAACGATTTAAACGATAGAAAGTGTGACACCATAAAATACAGAAAGATTAACGATGAAAGGGTCGATTCACTGTGCTAATTACATAGTAATTTGTAAGTTTCACGTCTAACAGAGTCTTCGTCACATAAAGTGCGTGCTAAATAGGGTATTGTAGAATTTCTATACTTAGTAGTACGAGCATATATCTTTTTATATTGACTTCTAGTCCTACCTGATGAGATACAAGGGGACAGGTGTGAATAAAGGGGGTGCAGAGGGTCTGACATTATAGCCTTTGCCCATTTCGTACAGGAATTTATATGCCTCTCGACAATAGTATTATATTTATAGTATTATGTTCAGTCTGAATAATGTCAGTTATGTTTGCAGACTAGGTGATCCGCCATTATGGTGCACTCATAATTGTGGTTAGATGGTTAGATGCAATCGGTAGGAAGCCTTGGACATAGGTTTTGTACTCCTTGGCACCCATCAGTCAATAAGGCGTATCTGCAGTCTTAAAGGAACAACCCATATCCCTTCGGAGATTTGAACCCACGTTACTCATTGCTGCAATCAGTGATGTAACTGACTTATTGATATAAGCATAAAACTCGTGCACTGTGGTAGAGTATAAAATCTACATTTGAATCGGAAGGGAACAAAGTGTTAGATTGTAAAATAAAACAAACATCAGAAGAAGGTAAACTGCACACTGGTATTTATAATATAATCGTAACGCACTCTAATAGATATTTAGACTTTAATTCATCTCATCCGTTTGTTATCTGTCTGTGAAGGCAGGCTTAGTTAAGTGTCTAACAAACCGGGCTTTACCACTTAGGAGCACAAAAGAGATCCAAATGATGAAATGAAACAGATAGAAGAAGAAGCGTTGGTGTTAAATGACTAACTATCCTATAAAAATTCATTAGGAATATCAAAAAAGGTCAAAAGAAAAATAAAAATAATTGTAAAGCTAATAATGATAACATAAATAAGAGTGGACATAAGGCATCTACAGTAGTTTCACCATATAAGGAGGGGACATCTGAGACCCTCACCACGTAGGATTCTCAATAAAATAGGAATTAGGGTGGTGGCATTCAAACCTACAAACTCACTCATGTAAGACAAGCTCTGTAGACTAAAGGACCCTGTCGGTTGACCCAATCAGACAAAATGACATAATTTACAAAATACCTTGCAATGACTGTGAGTTAAGTCAACTATATAGGTCAAACTAGTAGGTTTGGCGTATTCAGACTGTCAGAACATAAGAATTTAGCTAAGGTAAGAATGATTGATCCCACAAAGATAAGTAAATTAGAAAAAAGCTCAGCGATTGCACTCCATGCATTAACACACAACCCCACAATAGAGTGGGTGGGAAAGGTTCAAACTTCTAAGAAGTAATATATGTATATGTGGAGACAGAGAGAGATTGATTACTGAATCCTGGTTCTTCGAGTCTATATCGAACACATACAATAGCTATGACTCATCACTCATACCGGAAATATAGAAAATTGTGTGAGTAGTGCCTTGATATGTTTACGAGCAGTAATCAATTGTGCTTGAAACCTCGTCATCCAGTTATTCTTGTTTTTTTTCTCCCCTTCTACACTTCCTATAGATGCATGCAAAATCAATTATGGAAACGATAAATCAGTCATCGATGTATCCAAAATCGTTTATCCCATCACAACAACAGAATGGAAAAACTTCAGATCGTATACAACTAACCCTTGTACAGGATAATATGCAACGTTATGTAGATGATGCGCGTAAGGTAAGCTGAGAAAAATTTTTTTAAAGTCACTGTGCAGCTTTTTTTTCAAATCAGTTGATGATCCACTGGACTAGTAGTGAAGATACAGTTGGTTCTATTCTCACCGTCACCCAGATTTTAATTTGTCATCGATTACATCAACAAAAGTCTTCTAAGTCATACAAATAATTGAATAATTTGAATGCTAACCACTGGAGGTGATATCAGCTACAGAGTCAAGTCAGAAGTTAACTACACACACACTAACGAAAAACTGGATGCAGAACTTCGACCAGAACAAGCTGAATTCAGGAAAGGCAAATCATGTTCTAACCAAACTGCGCAACTCTACGCATCATCATCACAGAACAAAGTATGGAATGGCAATCAAACTTCTACCTCAACTTTATAGACTTTGAGAAGGCTTTTGACAGACAGCGTTGACCACGAAGTAATTTGGAAACTACTCGAGTACTACGGCGTACAATGCCATAAATATTCATCAACCTTATTCAACAGCTGTACGACAACGGCGGCACATGTCAAGTGATCCACAACGGAAAACTCAGTGAGGCGTTTGGAGTAAACACAGGAGTCAGACAAGGGTGCCTATTATCACCAGTGATATTTCTAATTGTGGTGGACTGACTGGATTATGCGTCAGACAGTGAGTGGGAAACGAGAAGACAGGGATATCCTGGACCGACCGACGTGAAGAACCTAGAAGACCTGGATTTCGCGCGTGGATGATTTATGCTTGATGTCACACACAAAATCAAAGACTTACAAGCGAAAACCGACAAACTGGTTGAAGAAGCAGCCGGCGAAGACAGGACTCAATGTGAACATAGACAATACGGAGGTTATGAAAATAACCAACCAACAACAACAAGAACAGCGGCAGCATCCAGCGCCAATCACCATCAGCAACGGGAGGGATTTGAAAGAGGTTACTTCATTCACTCACTGATCTAGGGAGCATTGTCTCAACTATAGGAAGTCGGAACGGACGAGGATGTCAAATCGAGAGAGAATCTGGAAGGCGAGCGAGAAACATATTCAATCATCAACCTGAAACCAATCTGGAAATCTTCAGCATCAACAACAAACAACGTCGAGTCAATTCTTCTGTACTGATCAGAAACTTGGAGTGGGGGGGGGGGTCATAAAGAATATTTCCAACAGCCTGTTGCAGACATTTGTCAACAACTGTCTTCGCTCAATACTGAAGATCAGATGGTCAAGTCGGAAAGAATCACCAATAAGAAACTGTTCACGATGAAGTCTCAATTCGAATCATTCCAAATTGCTACAAAATCCATAATCTAGGTGTCACTCTGGAGCCTATCAACGTCTACTAGCTGGATGTTCTAAAGTTCCAAGTAAAAGTCGTGGTCTGTGGGATCCACTGCGTCAGGGTTAATTCGATGCTTATCCATGATAGTGGTTGACGATACAGCTACATCACACATAGTCTCATCACCTGTGGTGTATTTGTCGGTGTGCAGTGTTGATGAGTTCCGAAACAGGACGAAACTACTGTCTAGTATTCCTCAGAGATTCTCACTGATTCTTTATTTAATATTATTTCGGTTAGTTAAGGACGTTTTCCAGGATTTAGCTATTACTTGGGGAGAAATAAGCTAATGGACTATGTATTTTATTGTACTATCAACATTTCAGTAACCAAGACAAGGATACTCTGACAAGTTGGAAAGCAAAGTTCGACATTCAGCTATATAATTGTGTTACACGATTACAGAAAAGTAGGAGTAGGGAGATTTAAAGGAACTTTAGGTGACTAATCAGCACTGTCTCCGTTGTAGTGTTTGTGCTGTGTGACACCAATAAGTGAGGGGTGTAGGAACTAGGCTTAGAGTCTTATGTAGAATATGTAGGTGGTGGTCAGTCGAGAAAGTTGTCAACTGTCATCGTTTTGAGGTGGGTTAGTTTGTATTTTGTTTATGCATGTCCACTATCTACGATGACATTTTGTGGTAAGGGGAAGTGGGACTGCCTTGAAAAAAAAAACGATGAATTACTTCATCAAGACCCGTCCCTGTTCCATACAGTCATTGACTGTTGCATGTAAAGGAATGTACACTTAGTGTTTGAAGTTCATTTGACTGCAGGAGTTCTCCTCATCAGCTGAAAATGCCTTACGTAATATAGTGCTCATCTCTTTCTCAGTGTATGACATATATGCTGCAATTATTATTATTATTATTGCCCCGCATACATTTAAGTTTTGCTCAAAAGACGCAACTAAAGTTTTAAGGCTAAATTGAATTCTCTATTTTCCCGTCGATTGACTGGATTGAAGTGTTTGGTCTCATGTTGACATGTCGGCTTCTTGTGCAGATGCTTCGAAGATGCCTGATGACGTAATTAGAATCTAATTGGTGGATAGTGACTAACAATGGAATCCAGGATTAGATGTGTTTCGTCCCATTTGGGACTCGTCATCTGGATGTGCCTACATTCCCCATTGAGTGACCCAAGAGGTTTGGTGGACAACTCTTTGGCGTTTGAAACTATGGGCACTGGGTTCGAGCCTCGGTGGGAACATCATCACTCACTCAGTGGGGAATGCAGGCGCATCCAGTGACAAGTCCCTAATAGGACGAAATGCGCGTAATCCTGGATTCCATTGCTAGTCACCATCCATCAATTAAGTTTTAAGGTTGTTTAGCTTATAAAGATCCATTGAATATTCACATAAACTGAAAAACGGATTGATATAAATTTACTGAAAATCATGGAACCTTTGAGAACTATGTTTACCCTAAGTTAGAATATAGAAGGTGGAAGGGTTGTCGATGAGTACAAATAATCCACTTTTAATGCAATCACAAGTGTGTATTCTCCAGCTTTCAACGCACAACAAAACAGACTGATCATCCAAAACACTAAAATATATTTCGGCATCAGAAATGTGGATCAGTGAGGACAATTTAACTAGCTGGGCTGCGTACACAAACAACCAAACATAATACGACAGGTTACTAAATACCATGGACGCATGACCATGCACCTTTAAACAATAGAGGTCAGCATCCAGTGTTGAATTACGATGAAATCTGTAGGCTAATAGCTTTTGGCAATGATTAAAGCTTACATTGAGTACCCAACTATATCCATTGACATTTTCATGAATGATAGCACACAAAAAGGTTGTATACAAAGACGAGCACGTTAGAAATCAAGCAATTGAGGGGTGAAGGTATACTTCTAGGATAACCTGGCGGTTCCATGTTGCATCACTCATGGAGTCGTGCGTACAGACTGCTGAAGAGCCTTAGACTAAAAAAGATGAATCAGTTGTCGAATGCTTCTTAATTTTTGCTACAGTTTGTGACGAAGGTAACTTTATAATCTTGAGATCTATGGTATATTTACATTTCTTTAAATTGTATTATTTTATTTTTTTTAAATACTTTTTTTCAACTATTACTTCTATTTAGAAAAAGCGAACATTATGCCTTCGAATAGTTCTTCTTAAACAGAAAATCAACTTCCTCGAATCTGAAATCGAGAAACTACGTGAAGAAAACATCAATTTGAAGTAAGATATTACAACACTATACAAAAATATTTTCAAATTTCTTAATTCTAATACCAAAACGAGAACGAACTTGTTTGCAAGATAAAGGAGCTCATTTTGGTGGATAGTGACTAGTGGTGCGATCCAGGATAACGCACATTTCGTCCTATTTGGGACTGGCTCGTCAGCTGGATGGATGTATTTGTATTCCCCAGTGAGTGAGTGAGTGAGTGAGTGAGTGAGTGAGTGAGTGAGTGAGTGAGTGATGGTGTTCCCCACACTGAGGCTCGAACCCAGTGTCCATAGTTTCAAACACCAAAGCGTTATCCACGAGACCACTTGAACCACGAGAGCCAACTCGTTGTGCAATGGATCTTATTGATTACGTAACTCAATTTAGACCGAGCACTTAGGTCCAATCAGTCGACGAAGAAAGGACTAAATTTCAACGGAACAGTTAGTAAATTAAAACCAGAAGATGGCATTCCTGTGACGTAGCATTAAGTGCAATACATTAGACAACAGCAGAAGAGGTTCGAGCACAATGTGCGTTAACCCTGAAAAATCAAAAGAAGGCAAAATCAATAAAGGTTTTTTGTATTTCCTAATGAATGAAAAACAAAACGATATTGTTTCATTCATTGGGAAATACAATAATAATAATAATAACAATTTCGCTTTATTCCAGAAACAGTACTTGTGGTACAGTGTGGAATTTTCAGCACATATCTACAATATTACATCTAATTTCATCGTACATTTAAAAGGAGTATTATAAAAAGAATAAAATATAAAAGAAAACCAGAAAAAAAAACACAGAAATAACAAAAAATGCAAATAAAAATACCAAGTAAAAAGGAAGAATCAACACAAATAATGAAACATATTTCAGTATTGGTTATTGGAAGCTACGATATGTGTATGCGTGGTGAACAGTAACAGCTATAATCATACGGGAAATTATGAGATGTTCTTAAGAATGTTTATAGCCAAGATGATCAGTTAATTTGATTGAACAACACTAAACAATCATAAAATAAACATTTCAGGTTGTGTTTTTTTTATTGTCAGTACTAATGCGGTTGTTTGTAGTGGCAGTGTGAGTAATCATGCATAATACAAAATTTTTAAGATGGTGATAGTGGCGTTCACAAACAAGATTGTCAGTTAAATAGTGCCGAACAAAGAACAACCACAAAACTAATATTACATGATGGTTAATGACGGGACAGTTTTTTAATAATCATAGTGATAAAGTAGCCGGAACCAGTAGATACACAAAGAAGGAATAGAATAAAGAATAAAAATGTAAGCCAATGATAATAATTTTAAGCAGCTAAGTATGTTTAAGAAGGTTGTTCACTATAGAGTACAAATAAGAGAGTGTAAGGGGAAATAACAAGGGCCAAAATTATGTTATTAACAACAAAGTAAGTCATAGGTTTCACGCTTAACATTGTCTCTGTCACTTAGAACACGGGCCAAATATGGTATCGTTGAGTTCCTATACTTGGTTGTACGAGCATATATTATTTTGTACTGATTTCTGGTTCTACCTGATGAGATGCAAGGAGAGAGTTGGGAATAGAGGGGGTGTTGAGGGTCAGAGAGTATGGTTTTAGACCATTTCTCACATGTATTCAGATGCTTATCCACTAATGTTGTGACGAGCTGACTGAGTTTTACACCGCTAGTCTTACTAACTACCTTCAACATCCTTCTCAGGATGGTATAATCCTTTTTCAGTAACCCAGGAAAGACTAACGGGGAGCAGTAAAGTAGAATAGGTAGGATACGAGAGTTGACAAATTGTGAAAGCAGAGGTTGAGGGACTCCAGTTAGTCTGAGTTTCTTAATGTAGTAGGTTAGACGAAACACTTTCTTGGAAATCAATTGGATATGAGATGACCAGGTAAGGTCGGAAGATATAACTAATCCGAGGTATTTTGCACCTTTATTATAATGAATATCATATATCCAATGCCCAAATTTTTTCAAACCGTTAAAATTGAACTTGGTCTGGATATACATAAAACAAGATCAAACTTAAAAACACTGGAAGGACTAGCGATAATTAGGAACGGGTCTCATTGGCTTAATGATCGACCAGAAGGTCCTCGGTTCGAAATCCAGCAGTGGGTGCGTACTGATGAAGAGTCCCAAACTGGGCTTTCGAAACAGCTGTCTGGCAGTACTCTCTGTCTGGTAACTTTCCAATAGTTCTCTAACTGATGTCAGTTCATGATGAAATCCTCCAACCAATCAAATTAGATCCCTACAAAAAACATACTTGAAAATTAATCTGATGCTCCCTAGCGACTGGCCATATTCAGGCAGTGACATGGGTTTCTAGTGGGACCTGGTGACCAGTAGGGTGCAGCAGGTTGGAGGTAAGGCAGTAACTCATCGAGGAAGAGATTGTGAAGTGGTCGCGCTATGTCATAAATCGGCAGAAGTTAAAATTCATGGGCTGGCTGTTGGAGCGCGTGCCAGTGGGTTAATGGTCTACGAGCTTGCCTTGTAACCAAAAGATCCTGGGTTTGAACCCACGTGGTGGGTTCGTACTGCTGAAGGGTTATTTCGGGACTAGGCTGACGGAACAGATGTCTGGCAGTACTTTCTGCGCGGTGGTTTTCCAATGGTTCTCTAACTGATGTCATCTCATGATGAAATCTTCCAACTAACTAAATCTTTCCTAAGTCTTTCCTGGACTACTTAAGAAAGACTTTGCTTTGCTGAGAAGGGCAGGCACTAAAAGCCGTTAGTATGACAAGTGGGATATCGTTAAACCAACTGGTTAATACTATTGTGGATAGACACAATGTCATGTAAGAACCTAGCGAATACAATATTGTCGGACCCCGAGCATCCTCTCTATACGCATCTATCTCCTTGCATTTCATCTGGAAGAACTAGAAGCAGCTATAGGAGGCTATATGCTAGGACCACCAAATACAAGAACTCCACAATACCATATCTGGCACAGCTGTTATGTGATGAGAAATCCGTTAGGTATGACACGATAAACTTACTGCAGCACTCTAACAAATAGTCTCATTAGTTTTTGTTTTCCTTTCCTCGTTACTACTACACTGTTGTTCTCATCTACTACCACACATCAACTTTATATTTCAAATCCTGTGGTGCATTGTTTGAAATGAAATACTCTACGCTGTTTTTTTCTTAATTTTTAATATTTATTTATTTTATTTATTTATAACTTATTTATTTTATTTTTATTTATTTTTGATTTTTAAAAATCTTATATAATTTATGAGGTAATTAGATGCAATATACTGTAATGAACGCTGAAAATTCCATACCTGTACCACAAATACTGTTTGGAATAAAGCTGTTATTATTATTATCTACGAAAAGTTTATTTTAATCGTTAATTCCATATTTGTTCTTTTTTATTTTATTTTTTTTTTTGCTCTCTGTAAAGGACGAATGTTGCATCAATAACTGAGTATGAACGTGTATGTCTTGCTTATAAAGATTTATATAGACGTCATCAAGAATATGAACGTATTATTCTTAATTCTGATAATCAGAAATTTATTACAAATAATGATCATGTTGGACGACTTACAGAAGAAGAATGAAAGGAATAATTAAATGAAAACCCTTTTTTCAATTGTTTTACAGGTATTAGTTTAATTCTCAGTATTATTTGAATTGATTGGTTGCGGCGCTGTTGTTTAAATGAATAACTCCGACTGATTTACATCAAATTGGTGTCATAAGTGAATCAATAGCAGAATGCCCGCCAACCACACATGTGACCGACTGACTGACTGACTGACTGGTTTTAACGTAGCATTTTGCACAGATGTACAGCAGTTCCAGTTGCTACTCTCCATATGTTTCTGGTTAGGTGAGATAAACATTATAAGGAAGGGATCAAAATCACCACCCACTGAACTCCCAGAATCGATACTATGAGATTCCATCATATAATACACCAGTACTTATCAGGTGGAATCTTTTGACCACCTTCGTATGAAGCGGGACAAAAACAGAAACTACTCAACATCATCACAAAGGAACGGAACTTAGGCGATTACCAAATTATTAAATGTGAAGAATTCAACGCTCCATCCCATATCTGTGTGTTTACTCAAGGGAAATTCAATTGAAATCTGCGATACACCATAGGAAGTACCGGGTAGATTGTGAATGTATGAAATGACACTAAGTAGAGCGATGTCGTGGAAATTTTTCAAAGCTTCAAAATATCCTAATCAAAAATTTTCAAATCGAACCGTTGTAGATACCAACGATCATGTAGTTTTGGTATTTTCGATCTTCACAACTCTCTCTCTCCCTCTTTGTGTGTGCTGTAGCAGAGTCAACAATACCAAAATGCAAAAATTTTCGTCACACTTAGCATAGCCCACAGATTCTGCTGAACTACCAGTTGATAAGTACTGTTACTGTTCTGTTGGATTCTCAGTGGCACATAGGGCTTCGACAGCACATTTCCACATCTATCTCTTTACCGCAGTACGATTTTATTCCCCTTCATGATTGCTCAGAAGCTGTCGTCTCGTTTACGCACGATCTCCTCAACATTACTCTTGGATGCCTATCTCGTCGTTGCTTATTCTGCTCCACTCTACTATCTTATGCGTGACTCCCCTCAACGCATATCTGCTTGCTTCTGTATAAATGTCCGACAATAGGCTCTTGGTTAGTTTTCAATTAGGTCTCATCAAGCTTAACTCTAATATATATTGACATATCAGTTCAAGGTTATCGAAGGTGTCAGGTGGTCTGTCTCTGACTCTGTACACTTCCTCGACGTCCTACTGACGAGAAGAGAGGCTGGTTACGTCAAAATAACCATATTTAGAAAGTTAGAGACCAAAGCTCAGTATACAGACTTCCTTAGCTTCGTATTGATGAAATACAAACGTAATGTAATCAGGTGCTTAGCACTTAGAGCGAGGTCTATTTGTTCCGAAGAGTGCGTAGAGAAAGAACTCCAGGTCATCCGAGACATTCTAAGCGAGAATGGATATCCAGAGAAGTTCATTAAAGCCAACATAGGTTACAATAGTTGTAAACATGAACTGGCAACTGTGGAGAAAAAGCCTCTGTTTTTACGTCTCCAATTCAAGGGAGATACTTCTGCGGAGATTCTATTCCAACGTTTAACCAGGGCGATCAAGAAGACTTTCTACTCTGCACGTCCTTGTCTATCCTTCACTAGCCGTCCAATGTTCATCAAGAAACTCAAAGATGTCTTGCCTAACCCTAGCTCCTCTTCATGCATATACCATGTCAACTGTTCCTGTGGTTCAAGTTATATAGGGCGCACGATTAGGCAGGTTCGTCTACGGGTTCGAGAACACTTACCAGCTTGGTTCAGCAGTGGGGAAATTAAATATATAAAAAGCTCGATCCTGTCACACTTGATGGATACTGGACATCGCATCGACGTCAACACAGCTTTCAGGGTTATATACCGAATTCCGAAGCCTTTACCACATACAGCTCGCTTACGTTTCCTACACATAGCTGAAGCTGTTGGAATAAGATCGACTAAACCGGAACTTTGTATCGGAAAAGAACACGCCCAGACGCTATTCCTACCGTGGCCAAACTTGGATTGAAGATTTTTCTTCTCACCAAGAGTGCTCCTTCCCCTTAACCCTGTTGGTTTTTTTCTTTTTTTTATGTTGCTTATTATTATAAATATTATTATTATTACAGTTATTATTATTATTCGTCATAATTTATGCCCTTTATGCAAACATTCCCTCAATACTATCGAATTTTTCAATCATACTATCCGGACTTATTATTAGTGATATTATCTCTTTTCTCAATATACGCCTCCACCTGTTTCATTTAACATATTCGTTATCTCATTATGAACCTCTCATTGCAGTCTAATTTATATAATTTTACAAACGAAAATTCAAATATAAACCAATCATGGTGATTTGTCTATAGGATAACAAGATGGTGAATATAAATTGTGCAATTAGTCATCATAATAGTAATGATAATAATAATAACAATAATAATGGTTTTATCAATAATAAGGATGAAAAAGTAAGGCAATCTGTGATAACACGAATAATGAAAAACATCATGATTATACAAACAAATGTTCAGGTGGAAGTAGTCGATAAAGGCTAGTAAAAATGAATGAACCGATTAAGTAATGTTAGATTGTAAGGGAAGTAAATGAGACACCTTTTTAATGAAGATGTGATAAGATTAAGGGATAGTAAGAGAGGGGTTGAAAATATAATAAGTAAGGGGTGGTGTAGGAGTCATTAGTTGGTTATGTCTTAATAGGCCAGGAATGGAGGGATAATGGCTGTGGACGAACTTTTTTTGAATGCATAGTTTAGGTTTAATAGTTCGAATGTCTATCGCCTCAGCTGTGTGCGTGCAGGAGACGAATACGAAGTCTATTAGAAAGATTCGGTGGGATACGATGAATTACTTTGAAAGCTCTCGTTTTCTCGACTAGATGACCACTATCAATTAAATGTGACAAAATTGAGCTAAGAACTGTTTTTGTCTGTCCTTTGTCAAACTACGATGGCTAAGTTGTCTAGTAGTACGCCCAACATAACTGTCACCGCAGGTGCAGTTGAAGTGATAAATATACATAGATGTGGCAAAACTATTTAGCTTATCCTTCGTTTGCATCCCAATCATTCGTCGGCTAGAGAATGACAAACATAGGTATGATGCGTAAAACGTTCTCCGTATACTCCTGGAAAGTCTTTGGAATAGAATCTCACTAGATAAGTCACCATTAAATTGTAACTTAATAAATAGAGCTTTCTTATGTGCAGTCAGAGTCTCAGGTTGTTTCTCTGATGTTTTCATATGTTTCTTTATGAAACTACTCGGATAGCCCATCTCCGTCAAGGAATCGTGAATATATTCAAATTCCTTTTGTATGGGGTCATCCGTGCATATCTTCTTGCTCTGCTCTCAGGACATTTAACAATATTCCTTTTATATTGAATGGGCACGTAACTAAGGAAGGAAGTGTGTGTATTGCCGTGTGAATGTGCTTTTTCTATACACGCTTCTCTCAAGTAACCTATCTTCTCGCCTAGTTAGCAAGACATCCAAAAATCCTGCTTTATTCTCTTGCTTCTGTTCACAAGTAAAATTAAGAGAAGGGTGGATGTTGTTGAATTTCAGCAACAATTCGTCTATGTTAACATTCTCATCAGCTAAGATAAATGTATCATCGACATATCGGTAATACATATCCAACTCCTTGATGATGTCCTTCAATTTCCCGTTTTCAAGTTTTACGAGAAAGAAGTCAGCTAATATTGGACCTATTGGTGAATCCATAGCTATTCCATCTACTTGTCGATAGTATAAATTATTGAAGACAAAGTGAACGTTCATTGTGCATTTAAGAAGTAATTCTTTGAGGATGGATACACAAGGGGATTCCTAAGTCTAATTGCCTTTCGGTGATTTCTTGAAAATATAATCTACTGTTTCCATAAGCCGTACGTTAGTGAATAGTGATGATACCTCCATGGATAACATGCGTTTATACCTCACTTTAGTCTCGGATATTTTAGAAATAAAGTCGAAGACATCACTAATTCGATGTTGCACGACTTCTCTGTGGAAAGGACCCAGAATCTTCACTAACCACTTCGCTGTTCCGTGAAATGGAGAGTTATACATATCTTAAACAGGGCGAATACCAGGTTTGTGCACTTTTGGTAGACCGTAAAGTCGTGGAGTATTGGTACCCGCAGGTTTCATGAACTCATACGTGGTTGATGATAACACTGCTATTTGGTTCAGTTTTTTGAGAGAGTCAGTGGGTCATTAGTTTTTCATCTCTTACATTGAGGTCTTTGGAAACACCAAGAGATTGGAATTTAGTTTGATCACTCAAAATACCTTCCATTTTCTCAACATAATCGCTTTTTTGCAGTAAAACTATACCGTCAGCTTTATCTGGCTTGCTAATAATTAAGCTTTTGTTACTTCGAAGTTGTCGTAGAACCTTTATCGACTACTACGTCTATCTGAACACATTGGTTTGTTTAATCATACTGTTTTTCATCAGTATTCGTGTTATCACAGATTGCCTCGCTTTTTCATCCTTATTATTATTATTATAAATCACGAAAAATACTCATTTATTCATAAGTAAAAACACAGTTTGTTTTTGTTCAGAGAAGAAATTTCTTTTCAACGACTTCATTTTCAAACCAACTGTACAGTCATATTTATATTACAGAAAAAGGTTATTAAGTGGCACTAAATAATTGCTCGGTCAATATACATTTATTTTCATTAGTAGTATTATGACTAACTGCACAATTTACATTCACCATCTTATTATTACCATGATTGGCTTATATTTGAATTTTTATTCGTATAAAATTATGTAGGTGTATTAGAGTTAAGCCTGATTATGAGATCTAATTGAAAACAACAATATTGTTCGCTTAAATATGTTGCTCTAAATTTTACTATGGGAATATTTAATGTATTGAAATCTTGGTTATGAAGAAAATAAAAGACAGATTTAGCGAAGAAAATTTTCTTTACCGACGTAATCATCTTCAGAGACTGGGTGTACAGTCGTATTTATACTTACAAAAATATATTATTATTATTGTGTCCTTTAGTTCCTAGAGGAACATAGGGCTTCAGCTGCGCACCTCCATTGACTTCGGTTTTCTGACAACTTTTTCAACCTGCTCCAGGTCTGTCCACATGCTTTCATCTCCTCCTCGCATGACCTCCTCCAAGTCACCCTAGCACTGACGACCAACTCGCCGCCTCCCTTTCGGGTTCCACTCGAGGGCTTGTCTAGTGATGTCACTTGATGGTTTCCTCAGCGTATGGCCAATCCATCTCCATTTCTTTCTGCCTATTTGTTTCACAATCGGTTCCTGATTGGTTCGCTCCCAGAGATCCCTGTTGCTGATCTTTTCTGGCCATCTGATCTTGAGTATTGAGCGGAGACAGCTGTTAATGAAGGTTTGAAGTTTGTTTGAGATGCTCTTTATGACTCGCCAAGTCTCTGATCCGTATAGTAGCACTGACTTTACATTGGAGTTGAAAATCCAGATCTTATTTTTGATGCTGATTGCTGTTGACCTCCACACAGATTTGAGAGTAATGAAAGCTTGTCTTGCTTTTCCGATTCTGGCTTTGATGTCCTCGTCAGTTCCGCCTGTAGTTGAGACGATGCTTCCCAGGTAGGTGAAGGAGGTTGTTTCTTTCAGGTTCTTCCCACTTATGCTGATTGTTGTCTGTTGTTGTTGTTGCTGTTGATGTTGGCTAGGAATCTTCATCATCTCTGTTTTATCTATGTTCACGTGAAGTCCTATCTTTGATGCTTCTTCTGCCAACTTGTTACTTTTCACTTGCATATCTTCCAGTTTATGGGAAATCAGACATATATCATCGGCGAAATCCAGATCCTCCAAGTCTTTTGTGTGAGTCCATTTTATGCCTGTTCCCTCGTTGGTTGCCGTTGTCTGTCGCATTATCCAATCAATTACAATCAGGAAGATCATTGGTGATAGTAGACAGCCTTGCCTCACTCCCGTCCTCACTTCGAAGGCTTCCGTAAGTTTCCCGTTGTGGATTACTTGACATGCAGCATTGTCGTATAAATGTTGGATTAGATGTATAATTGTCGACGGGACCCCGTAGTAGCGAAGTAGTTTCCAAATGACCTCTCGATCGACGCTGTCGAAGGCCTTTTGAAAGTCGATGAAGTTGAGATAGAGAGGTGACTGCCATTCCAAGCTTTGTTCAATGATGATCCGTAGAGTGGCAATTTGATCAATACATGATTTGTTTCTCCTGAATCCGGCCTGTTCCGGACGAAGTTTTTCATCTAGGGCTTGTTTGATTCTCTCCAGGATGATGCGACTTAGTATCTTGCTTGGAATGGACAGAAGCATAATTCCACAAAAATATATAGTAGTCTATTATTGAGTAATAGGGGGGGGGGGATGGGAAGGGACATAATTGATTTAGTTATTCATAAGTGGCTTTAGAAGTGAAAATTAAAAGTTGTAAGTATAATATATCAATTATGTCACCCAGGTTGTATTACTCAATAATAGACCACTACATATTTTTTCTAAGCATAAATACGACTGTACAGCCAGTCTCTGAAGATGATTTCATCGATAAAGAAAAATTTTCTTCTCTGAATTTGTCTTTTATTTTCTTCATGACTCAATGGGTATTTTCGGTGATCTGAAGCACAGCAAAAAAAAATTCTTGGTTTGTTTGCTGCCAGTGTTCCTTATCCTGACTGAATTATCTTTTCTGATCATCTGACACCAACAGGACCTAAGTTCGACTCTCGTATTCCTGTTCCATTTTCTGTCTGGCGTAACAAGTATCACTTTTTAGCTAAGACCTGATATGTATCCACATGATGTGTGTGTGTGTTTTGTTTTTGACAGTCTCTTATATTTTGCTATGTGTATATGGATCGATATTCCATTATAACTGACAATATGCTTTTGTCTGTCCACTAACTAAATAAACATGTATGACCTTGTTGTCACATGACATTACAACCAATCATGTTAAGACTGTCTATTTATTGGTTCATGTGTATTAGCCATTTTCATATATATACTTTTGTACTGTATACTTGTTCTCACGTTTCGTACACTACGTACCATTCCACTAACACTCTTGTGTGACATTTATTTTCCTTGTCTGGAAAATACAAGTATCATCGTAAACCTGGTGGTCTTCTGATTTCCCTCTATCCGCGTCAGAACTATTGACTACTCGACGAGTACATAACATAATTGGCGACGGGAGAAAACTCTAATAACTCACTCAGCAGCAGTACACAAAAAGACCATACTATTTTTTCAAAAAATATATATATAATGCTTCATATTTTCCTGTTCTCTTTTCCAGGGTTCATCACAACACAAAAGCACTACCTTCATATTATTTATGATTCCAGCACCTCCACCAATCTTCCCCACACACCCACCCCAATCCCATCCCTCGCCGACTATCACGATTCTTATCAATTATTGTTATTATTATCATCATCATTAGTAATAATAATAGATATATCAAAGGGGCAAGCAATTCTCTTCTCAAAGTATTCTAACACAGGATCAATCCCATTCAGTAAAATACCACAAACTCATTCACAAAAATATTTTAAAAAAAACAAAATTAATCATCATCTAACCCAATAAAAAGCATCACTACTGAAGACAGATTGTGCATTACACACAGAGAACAAATTGCATTTCAATAAAAGATTTCAACATTTTGTATGACTTTAATTCGCGCAAAAGTATATGAGATATACTTTTTTTCTAAAAGTCATTTTTTTCTTAATTTGTTTGTTTCTTCAAAAGACATACAAAAATATATACATACATATTATGATGCATTTATAATTCGAAAACTTTATATAGTTTTCTTTTCTGTTACGTCATTACATACAATTGTAACAACAGAAGACAAGGGCCAGGCAACAGATCGTTTTATTATGAAAATCAACACGTATTTATACATATTTCACATACATTATTATAGCTTATGCAAGTAGACAAGCGCAGTCATCTGATTGGTTGTTTATCAGAAGTTAGGCAGACAAACGCAGGCTTCTGATTGGTTGTTTCGGGATTCCTCGACAAATAGAGTTCTCTATCTGCGAATCATATTTTGCCACGTTAACTTTGCTGTGATTGGTTGTTGAATCAGCCTTGCTCATATTTTCTCCCGGCCTGCTCTCACCACACTCGTGCCCCCGTCAAATACGTGCGACTGAAGTCGGCTTGATCTACTTGGTGCAGGCGTCATCGTTGGCTTGTCTCGCTGTATCCATTTCTGGAGCTCGCTGACGTTCACGCGCCTCTCATTGTTCGTCATTGCGATTGTGTCCGCGTAATCCCATCTCGAAGTGACCATATGTGGTCCTTCCCACTTTGGAAACTGTTTGCCTGACCCTGTCGAACATTCGTCAGTATTTCGTCTCACACTTTCATACGCTGCTTTCACCCGACCTCCCAGCAGCGTCCCAAGTAGCAGCTCCATCGCTGACAGATCTTGAACGCCACTCAACTGCGCAGAAGCCTTGAAGTCCTGCCCGAAGATCCATATGTCTCCATCAAAAACAGCAGGGCATAGGCTTTCCATTTGTCGGTAGGCAGCGACACCAAATGTAACAACAGAAGACAAGGGCCAGGCAACAGATCGTTTTATTATGATGAAAATCAACACGTATTTATACATATTTTACATACATTATTATAGCTTATGCAAGTAGACAAGCGCAGTCATCTGATTGGTTGTTTCGGGATTCCTCGACAAATAGAGTTCTCTATCTGCGAATCATATTTTGCCACGTTAACTTTGCTGTGATTGGTTGTTGAATCAGCCTTGCTCATATTTTCTCCCGGCCTGCTCTCACCACACAATCACAAATACCCCCTGACTGAAGTGCGTCGATGGCACAGCGGTAGAATGCTAGCCGACCACGCATGTCGTCCGGGGTTTGAGTCCCGGCCGATGCGCTCTTTTACGTCGCTAAACCAGTAATAAGACTGATTAAAAAGATGAAAGTTTGGGTATGTGGCTGGCTAGCGACCCCATTCTGTAAAAATGAACACCACTGGACCATTGGGAACGTAAAGGAATAAAATAAAATGAACACTATGTTTCTGATTTACGGGATATGTATTATTATTATATCCTTTAATTCCTAGAGGAAATTACGGCTTCAACTGCGCATCTCCATTGCGTTCGGTTTTTTGCCAACATTTTCACCCCGCTCCAAGTCTACACACATTCTTTCATCTCCTCTTCACATCACTTCTTCCAAGTTACCCCACTGTGGGACGACCAACTTGCCGCTTCCCATTCGGCTTCCATTCGAGCGATGGCTTGTTTAGTGATGTCACTTGATGGTTTCCTCAGAGTATGACCAATCCATCTCCATTTCTTTCTGTCTATCTGTTGCACAATCGGTTCATGCTTTGTTGGATCGCTCCCAGAGACCCGTATTGCTGATCTTTTCCAACCGGCCATTTGATCTTGAGTAGTATCGTGCGAAGACAGCTGCTAATGAAGGGGTCTGTAGTTTGTTTGAGATGCTCTTTATGACGCGCTGGCCAAGTCTCTGATCCGTATAGTGAGTAACACTGACTGACTTCACATTGGAGTTGAAAATCCAAATCTTATTTTTGATGCTGAGTAGTGCTGTTGACCTCCACACAGACTTGCTAGTTAGTAATGAAAGCTGGTCTTGCTTTTCCGGGATATGTATACTCATTATTATTGTTGTTCCCTTTGGATTCCAACTGACTGACTAACGAACTGGTTTCAACGTAGAACTTTGCACAGATGTTTAGCAGTTCCAGTTGCCACACTCCCTCCATGTAGCACAGAAAGTAGGAGAGGAGGGTAAAGAGAGATTCAAAAGACAGTGAGAGATAATCAACAGAAATATGAGGCAAAAAGAATAGTAATATGGAAGAACAATAGAATTTAAGTTGGATATTATAAATCACAAGGAGTGGAATCATCTGTACTGAGCTATTGAAAATGACGATTTCCAGCTATATCACTAACTGTCTCCAGCCTGTATTGGATTTACCGTCCCAAAGACTCGAACCAGTCAAGAAGTCTACACCTCCCTACGTCACTGGCTGGCTGGCTGGCTGGCTTAAATTAACTGTTGTGGATTTTATTGACTTATGAAGCCATGTTTTGGTTTGACCACTCCACCACTAGATCTTTTTCAATCTGATCCATCGTATGTCAGTAAGTCGACATTGACCGTCGATAGAGGAGGTCGATAGCTAGACATGTGTGCGTAACACATGTCATAACCATCTCAATGGATGTAACTTCATAACCTAATCGATTGATTTCATCTCCTTAGCTAACACTCAACCTATGTCTAAACTCAATAGTGCTGGCCTTTTCATATATTCCAGTTATAATGGCCTTATCTCACGACCGTAAGGGAGGACAGAGTGGACTGCTGAGCAGTACACACGCCCTTTGGTCAATAGCCGGATATCATGTCCGAGTGGAACATAGGGCTTCAAACAGACCATATTTCCACTTTGTTCTATTGTCTTCAGTTCTTTCCAGCTAGCCACACAAACTCTCATAATCTCTCATCTCTCGTATGGCTTGTATTTCATACTATATACTGTGTTTAATTGAATTTTAGATTTTCCCGTCGATCGATTGATTGGACCGAAGTGCTCGGTTTCATGTTGACATGTCGGCTTCTTGTGCAGATGCTTCGACAACGTCTGGGGATTTAATTTTATTTATTTATTTTTTATTTTTGAATACAGCTTGATTCCACACCGTATTTTTGGTACAAGTATGGAATTTTCAGCATGGATATCGGTGGCCCAAATTTCGCAGGCCGACCATAGATATCAAGGTGTGCGTCGGCGTGGGCTCGAACCCCGGACCATGTGCATGGTCGGCGAAAGTCCTAACCACTGTGCCACCGACGCACAAAAATTAGTATTTAATTGGTGGAAGGTGACTATCAGTGGAATCCAGGATTACGCGGATTTCATTCTATTTGGGACTCGTCATCTGGATGTACCTGCGTTTCTCAAGGAGTGATGATGTTCTCACCGAGGCTCGAACCCACTGCTAATCACCATCCAGACATCATCGAAGCATCTGCACAAGAAGCCAACAGACATGTCAACCTGAGACCGACCACTTCGATCCAGTCAATCGACGGGAAAATCTAAAATTCAATTAAATTAATATGACCCGTTGCACAACAGGTGGCTCTCGTGGCCCAAGTGTTCTAGCGAATCACGCTTCGGCGTTTAAAATTATGTTCATTGGGTTCGAGCCTCGGTGGGAACATCATCACTCACTGAGAAATACAGGCACATCCAGCGGACGAGTCCCAAATAGGATGAAATCCACGTAATCCTGGATTCCACTGCTGGTCACCATCCGCCAATTAAATACTAATTATATCCTGTGTTCACCTGCCCAACTGACTGCAACTTATCATCAAATAGTTCATTTCTAATTGCTTAACAAGATCAAGATTACTCGTAGATCTGTCAGCTGTACTGATTTACCCAATTGACTCTTTTATCAAGTCTTCATAAGATCACTCTGAGCTGGTGTCTTCTTGGGCGCACGCCATTCAGTAAAAAACATTCTAATCATCTTCTGTGAGACTTGAAAGTTTGAGAACTGGTGAAAGGTAGAATTCATATGTAATTGGATTTTGATATGATGGAGAAGAAATTTGTAGCTCAGGTGGATGATTTTGATGTGGTTGTGTTCTCTAAGTTAGCTGGCTGGATGGTTTGTTTTGCAAATCTCTCATTACGGCCCTACTAGACAACATCTTCAGAGCATACACTTCAATTTGAATTGAAGTGAGTTCCTTTTAGATTTCTCCACAAGTTTATCAGTTATCTCTCCTGGTGACCACTTTGAACGTGACTCTTTAGTTGTTTTCGTGTGTTTCCACACCCTCTAGGCTTCTACTTGTATAGGTATTGGTGTTGATTGTTTCGTAGACCTGAAGTTTGATCCTTTGTGTATGAGATTTCCTTCTTATCGATTAGTAAATTTTGTCTGTGTCATTGTGTCTATTAACTGACGATTCACTGGAATACCAGACTTCTGAAAATTCTCTGGCTAGCATTCTTGATGTTTTCTCCGTCCAATATTTGGACGTTGTCAAAGTTGAATTGATTTCCGTGGTTGTCGGTGTTCATGGATACGAAGACGAAGAGGACGTTCACTTTAGCAGTCGTTACAATTTATTTTGCAAATGCTGTTGGTTTTATCTTCTTTCGTTGTTGAGTGTTTTGGTCAACACAGAGCTCAATGAAGTGATTCTGTTGGTTTGTGTGCGACAACAATTCCTAGAGATTTCAAAAGTCTTGCAGTGATCTATGAGATGTCTTTTATATATATAGTAGGGCGATTTGCTCTGTGCTTTCCTTCAGAACGTTTGATTTGGTAGGTTGGCTTGGGGCTATATGTTCTTTTATGAAGTTCCGTGGATTTTCCTTTAGGTAGGAGTGCTGCAATGAGTCATGACACACACAACATTTATCAATCGATAAGAAGGAAATCTCATACACAAAGGGTCAAACTTCAGGTCAAGGAAACATTCACTTCCAATACCAATACAAGTAGCTGCCTAGATGGTTTGAAAACACACAAAAACGACCAATCAGATTCAAGGTAGTCACCAGGAGAGATGACTAATAAACTCGTGGAGAAATTTAAAAGGAACTCACTTCTGGGTTTTATCTTAGTAGATGAATAGTCAACAGTTCAGCCTTCTAACCTAAAGATACTGAGTCAGATCCCGAGTGGGATCATAAATGCCAACTGATGAAGAGTTCCAAACTAGGGCGAAACAGCTGTTTAGTATTCCCTAGTTTTCGAC